TGGGAGGGTAATGTGTACGGAGACCTTATCCTGCCTTCAAGAAGGTAGAGAGGATGAGCATCCTTAGGGAAATTACTAGGTTCACCACTGGTTTAGTTCCTTACAAAAATTTTACTAACTAATTATGAATACGAAATGTCTTAATAAATAGGTTTTTGCCCACAAAAAATAACATGATGAGGTGGAAACTAGAGAAGGAAACTCGAAAGTCAGTAATGAAGCTGATTGAGAGCACTAAAGGGAGAGAAAATTCTAAGAATCTTCTTAGTTTGCTAATGACTGCAAGTGAAGCAGAACATGGATTTGGGGTGGAAGAAGTCATAGATGAATGCAAGACATTTTACTTTGCTGGGAAGGAAACTGCTTCCAACTTGTTAACTTGGGCAGTTCTTCTTCTGGCATTGCATCAAGAATGGCAAGATAAAGCTCGAGATGAAGTTTTTCGAGTTTGCAACGGTAACAACCTTCCAAATGCAGAGAATCTGATTGATTTCAAGATTGTAAGTAAAATATCCCAGAGTCTCTCATCTATGTTCTCTATCTATTTTTAAGTGTCCCGCGTTAGTTGAGGGAATAGAACTAGTTGTCGCCTTTTTATATGATCTCGTCAACTCACTCCCATGATTTAGTTTTTGATATTGAGTTAGGCCTGTAGGTCAAAGGGTGAAGTTATTTTCGTATCACCTATAGATCACGGGTTCGAGCCGTGGAAGAAGTACTAATGCTTGCATTAGGCTGTATACATCACACTCCTTGGGATGCGGTCCTTTTCCGGACTCTGCATGAACGCGGGATACATTGTACATCGGCCTGCTCTTATATTGAGTTAAATCTAAAGTCCATTTTTCTTAACATAGTATCAGAGTCAAACTCATCTCTATTATTGATTTATTTTATATCGGACCCATTTTATACTCTCAGAACCAATCTTAAGTGTGTCAAGGTGTGTGTTAAGCGTCCTACATTAGTTGCGGGAATCAATTGTCATCTCTTTACATGGTCTTAGATAATCCTCACGTCATTAGATAACTTTTGAGACTGAATTAGGTCTGAGTTCTATTCTCGTAATAGCACTATTTAAGAGTTTTTAACCTTGGTTACAGATTGCAAACTTTTCCCATGTTTGTTCTCTTACTTTGTTTGTTCTTTTATTTTGTGTATTCAAACAGGTGACAATGATTCTCAATGAGACAATGCGACTCTACCCACCGATCGTTGCATTGACAAGGGGAACTTCTAAGGATATTAAGTTGGGAAACCTTGAAATTCCAGCAAATACACAATTTTATGTGTCAGTAGCTGCTGTACATCATGACACTGAGATATGGGGGAAAGATGCACTGGAATTCAACCCTCTGAGATTTGCCGAGTCTCGAAAGCATTTGGCTTCATTTTTTCCTTTTGCATTAGGTCCAAGAGTTTGTATTGGGCAAATCTTAGCCATGGTTGAAGCCAAAATCATCCTAGCAATGATAATTCAGAATTTCTCTTTTGAAGTGTCACCTTCATATGTTCATGCTCCAACTATGCGCCTTACTTTACAGCCTCAATATGGTGCGCCCATCCTTTTTAGGAAGATCTAATTTATATCCGTAAAAGGTCAGCTCTCAGGCTGTTTCACACGCTGCCTAGCAGTGATGTGGTTATCTAAAGTGGATTCTCTCTTTGTAGTAGATGTCGAACCTGCAGTGGCCCATTGTAATGTGGTGCTTAAGTCTACCTACCCTATTTGTTCCTTGATCTGTGGGTCTACTGAAACTACCCACTTCGATCAATTAGCCAAGACTTTGGCAGGATAATATCTTCACAGTGTGAACAGTTATAGTCCATAAATGATGATCAATTAAGTTTCAAGTTGGATCAATTATATGAATCGTTCATTCTGCATTATTCATGTTATGAAAATTAATTTTGTTATTTTATGTTCGTGTTTTTTTTTTACCAGTAAATGGAAGCACATTTAGTCCCCAAATGGGCAAATCCAGATGCCGAAAAAACTCAACTCAAATTTTAGAGAAACTACCAGTTATGTCAGCCAAGTTAGCACAAAAATTAGCCAATTAGCTATTTGTAGCCAAATAAATGTCAATTTTTTGCTTTTTGAGGGGGTGTTGTTGGAATAGATTGGATATATCTTAAGGAGTTTGAATCTCAATTTTGGGATTATTTGGTAGAGTTTTGAGGTGGTTTGAATTGAAAATTCGAAGTAGAAGATGAACGTAGAAAAAAATAATGTGTATCACACTAGGGGTGTTCGTCGGTCGGTACGGTACGGTATTTAGACATTTCGGTTCGGTATTTTCGGTATTCGATTTATTAAAATGCTATACCAATACGGTACCTAATTATATTCGGTATGGTTCGATTTTTCTCCTTTCGGTTTCGGTTTATTCGATACCGTAACTTCGGTTTCAATATTAACTAGTGCATAAAGCCATAAACCGTAATATTCTTAATTAAAGTACTTATAAATATAAAAATAAAAAAACGTTCTAAGATCACATGACACAAAAAATTTATCAAACCATCAAGTATTAACCCATAGAGAGCAAAAAGGTACATAAAGAAATAAATTTAATCATTGAAAATGTCTTATTACTTGTTTAGAACTTATTGCTGAATTTAGAGAAAAAATACCCTAAAACCGTAAAAGTATCACGTTAAGATGTTTGGCATCCTAGAGAATAAGAGTCACAATCTACGACCTACCTTGTTTTTCCATTTTCCTAAAGACGTACATGGGCTTTACTGTCAGCCTCAACATACATACCAGAGAAAAGTATTATGTAACTTAGTATGTTATAATCAATAATATGTGTATTTTATAAATTATTATATATTTCGGTACGGTATTGATACTTCGGTATTATATTTGTAAATACCTAATACCAAATTTCTTTAAAAACTTAAACTAAATACCATACCAAATACCAAAATATTGAATACCAAATACCAAAACTTTCGATTTCGGTACAGTAATTCTGTATTTACCAAATTATGCACAATCATATATCAGTGTATCATTTGTATATCACATATGTATCATATTTGTATCAAATGTGTATCACATGTATATCTATGTACACCTATCTGTGAAATACATGCGTGATACATGTGTCACAAAATAATTTTTTGAACTCAATTTTAACTACGACTTTTGATACCAAATCAGTCCAAACCATCTCCAATCTTCCTTAAATTTTGTATATTGACTCATCTATATGTTTTCAATGAACTTCAACCATACCCATTGAAAATGGTCATTTTTTCTTAGGTTTTTGGAATCTTGTATATATTTTTTTTTATATATTTCATCACCTTATTTGTTACCGCATGCATGAAATTTCCTTTCCGTCTTACATCTAATGTTGTTGATCAAGCTTAGAAATATGGAAGGAGATCTTTGCGTGTGATTCTTGGGGAGAAAACATCCTTATTTATTTGTGTTTTTAATTTTTGTATGTGTTTGACTAGTTTTGATAAATTTATGATTAATAGGTAGAGGTCGGTAAGTTATCACTCATTTTGGACATTTCTGTAAGATTTATAATCTTAGGAGCGAGCTCGAATTTTAATGGTTTGTTAGTCGTTGGTTTAAAGTTGAGCTTTCTCAATTCCTCTATTATTGCTGCGTAAGAAAAAACGATATCATATAGTAAAAACAAAGTTCAAAAATTTTGTGCTATTAACATTAAGTTCACTAGTAGTAACCGATATAATGAAAACATAACATTAAGTTTTGACTTAATCAGTAGTTGCTTAAACTGAAAGTTGGACGACCAAGCATAAAATTTGGTTCGGACTACCAACCACAATAAACCCATCTATGGGAGCAAAATTCAGAATTAGGTACATACACTTGTTATTTCTCTTGATTAGACGTGGGATTTCATAATAACATTATGTTTTGGCATAATAAATAATTGCTCAAACTTGAAAATTAGGACTACCAAACACAAAAAATTGGTTTGGACCAAACATAAAAATGAAGACAAAAAAAAAAAGAAAGGGTGGAGCATTGTTCAAAATAAGGTACTAGTGCAGTTGACATATATTCAGATCTCACGTATAATATTTTTTCACAATTAACAAAGTATATGTAAAATTTAACTACGTAATAATAATAATAAATAACTAGGTAAAAAAAAGAGATTTTTGTATTAATGTGAGCAAAATGACACCCTTTAGTACACACTAGTTGTAAAACTATCCATATATAAATTGGATACAGACCTACACTTCTATTCAACATGAATTTAAGACTTTTATCATAATATATTCACCTTAATTTTGATAACCAATATACAAATGCTTTCATTGGTTAGATTACTAGGACTTAAACACACGATACGATGCGACCATAACAATTACGTTTCAATCTCAAACAAGTTAAAATCGATTATATAAATCTTTATTGATCATATTTATTCATTTAAATTCATCTCACTGACTATATACGATCATGTTTTTTCATATTTAGATCAAATTATGATCTCCCTTCTCTATTTGTCGTCTCAGAACGAATATTTTTACTTTAACTAGTGAAATGGTGATTTTTTTTTAAAAATCTTATAAATTCCCCCGAAAAAGAAATTCTACCAAACGAAGCATGAATTGGCATGATACGTATACCACCCCAAAAAAAAAAAAAAAAAAAAAAAAAAAAAAAAAAAAAAAAAAAAAAATAAATAGAAAGAAGTGGCATGATTCACACATTTGCGTAGTCCCATATAATGGGACCAAACACGCCTTTAGTCGGCTCCATTATCCATTCACCCGTCAAACTCCATCTACAGAATAATACACAGTAAGTAATAAAATATACTAACGTAAGATCTCCAATTTTGTATGTTCGAAATGACCAAAACACCCTTACACATATAACAACTGTCTGGGCATCAAATAGCACATTCCGGGAATGTGCGAGCACTAAATTCGTCACAACACACTTCTTTTTTCTTGCCATTTTATTCGTATTTTAATGGTCACCATTAATGACAATTGACAAGTAAAAGGATTCTCAAATCTTAAATTAGATTGGAAAGTGAAAACTTTTCCGTGGTGATAACAATAGGGTTTTGTTTTGATGGTGGGAAAATCAACCGAAGCCTAAAAGTTTCTTTAGGGTACAGGAAGTTTCTGGACTTTTACGTTTGAGCTAACCCAACAGCCAACTTCTAGGAGATAAGAGAAGTTGGGTTTAGACAGAAAGGGAGAAAAGGCTGAGTACTGAGTTGTTGTGATTTTGCTAGCTTGTCTATTCTTGGCTTTTGTTATCTGTAAAGGTGCGATTTTTAAAGCCCCTTCTTTTTTTACTTTGTTGTGGGTGTCCGTTTGGAGTTTCGATATTGAGGTTTCACAATTCTGTGCTTTAATCTTTTTTATTTCTTTTTATAAATTTGTGGTTCTTGATGTTTGTGGCTTTTGGAAGGATAGTTGTATGACGTGTTTGATTTGCTTAGGGATGTAGTATTGTGTTTGACTGGCTTTAATAAAGGTTGAGACTTGAGTTGCCTTGAATCTGCTTTTTTAACGGAGATGGCAATTTATTTTGGTGGCTAGCTTAGGTATTTATTGTAATTTTTCCTCTTTTCTGAGTTCTAGCCTTCTAATCAAGTAACTTAATAATGTACTAGTAGTTTTTTTGGTGCAAATAATGTACTTGTTTCTACTTGAGCTTTTTGTTTATAATTATTCCTTTGTAACCGCGGTATCGGGCCGCCTTGGCACAACGATAAAACTTGCATGACCATGAGGTCACGAGTCAAGCTGCGGAGACAGCCTCTTGCATGAATGCAAGGTGAGGCTGCATACATAAAACTGGACGTGGTCTAGCCCTTCCTCTCCCGGCGCATAGAGGGGCTTAGTGCATCGGGGCTCCCTTTTAACCGTGGTGTCGGCGTCTGGGCAGTTCACAAGTATGAGTGCTGGGTAAACCTAACTTTCAAGGCTGAGAAAGATGTGCTCATACTAAGCGTTTAGTAGGGAACTTTTGAGTTTTTTGTCGATTTAGTTAGTATAGCAAGCAGCAATTGGTTGACATGAAATATGGTGGATTTTACTATATATTACCTATATATTTTCTACATTTTCCACTTCCAACCAAGAGGTTGTGAGTTCGAGTCACCCCAAGAGCAAGGTGGGGAGTTCTTGGAGGGAGGGAGCCGAGGGTCTATCGGAAACAGCCTCTCTACCCTAGGGTAGGGGTAAGGTCTGCGTACAAACTACCCTCCCCAGACCCCACTAGTGGGATTATACTGGGTTGTTGTTGTTGTTTCTACACTCTACTATGTTCTCTATGATCTTGTTCCTCCTAATGTTGGTTCCCGTGTTCAGCAGGTGTCTGAGTTGTCAAGTGAAGACCAAATGTATGCTTGTTAATAGATGTACTGGGAGTAATGATATTTCTTGTGTTCTGTGGTTGATAAGCCAATATGCAGAGTAATTATCTTTTTAGACTAGGTGGTGCAGTGAGGCAGGGAATCCAGAAATCCATATCTGGCCAAGAAAGTAGGCTCCAAGATTTGGTGGAGATTTTGGCTGCAGAAGAGAGATTGTTGTTCGGGAAGTTCTTCTGCTCTGTGCCATCTGCAGGATTGTCTGACCTGCATGTGATTGTACGGCCTGGAACTTTAGCGGCTGCACAGGCAAATTTGAATATAGTTAATCAGAGGAAGAATTTTTCAGTGGTCAGTGCTATTCCTCGTGCATTGTCTATACCATCTGTCTCAGGGCCTGCATTTCAGGTCTGTGGCTATCACATTGATCGCCTATTATCTGAGCCTACTCAAGTTTCTTTAGAGACTGACTCTCATAAGGCTCCTATGGCCATTTGTGGTTCAAGAACTTCTGTTGGATGTTCCTCGAGTAAAATGACTTCAAGGCATCTCAAACCTTGCTTTTCAGTAAATAGTCCAACTACTTTGTATAGCAGTAGAAATTTCGACAATTCTCAAAAAGCCAGCATGAGTTTGAGGAATAACAATCAGCCCAACGACTTTGTTGTCTATGGATATTTCACATACAATGCTGTAAAGAGCAAGGGCATTTCAAATGTTTATGAAGGATTTGGATTCAAGGGTTTTCATAGTTCTTCAGCTGCATGTATCTCTGCTGGCGCTGCTCCTGATGTGTCCTTTGATAACTCTCTGCGTGAGGTACACCCTGCAAGTTCAGCAAATTCTCCTGAACAGTATGTTCCTCGACTTTGCTGTTAATTATTTAAGACGGCTTTTTTTTTTCTTTTTGTAACTGAGTCTGAGGCGTAGTTGTTGTCATAACTGAGAAATCCCCGAGGGTTGGTGGTGCACGGTTCGAAACTCTGCTGATAATAGGCTGCCTCTCTAATCTTCTCCACTTAAATATCAGGTTTTTTTCTGTAGGATTCGGATCCATGATGTGCGTCTAACCCACACAACCACTAGACCAAAGTCCAATCAATTGGAAAGTCTGGGGTGCACATGGTTTGAAGTTTCCTGCAGGAAAGATTCCAGCAAATAACATACTCTATCTTAACAGCTAATCAACTTCTAGAAAATTTGCTGGATCTGGAGAAATTTATAACTACCGCCTCTTCTCGTTTCGCATTCACTTACTCCATTATGATTTCTAAGATTGCACATTGTTGAGCTGAGATACGGAACTAGGCTTATGATGACCGCCTTATGGTTTTAAAACTTGATAGTAAAGTCATTTTCGATAGTAGCATCTGGTTATCACTCACTGAAATTGAAAATGGAGGTGTTCTTTGAATTTAACATGTTTAAGTTAAGTCCAATAGATAAGCTAATTTATGCATCTCTTTGGGTTTTCAATTACTAGAGATTAGGGAACAAGCGGCGGGGCCAGAGTTTCAACCTTATAGGTTCTGGATTTTAGAACAACGAATTTAAGTATTAGTAATTGGGTTCTAAATTTAATATTTTGTATATATTAAATGATTTTTTTTAACACTAATATACCTGCTTGAGCAAAGCTACTGGGTTCACCCGAACACTAACCCAGTAGCCGGGCTACAAGTTCCTTGCTTCTCCTTCTTTTTATCTTTTTAAGGTAAATAATTTCATCAGTGATCAATGTGTGGATAAACTCATGTATACAAGCAGTACCAAAATGTAGAGGACCTACAATCAAATATGGTTCTCTGCAAAAGAACATCCAATTTTCTATACAAAAAAGGGACCGCATGGTTGCACCAACAAAGAAACTAGAAACAATAAACTATCCCTCAAATGTAGAAAATCACGCTTTACCCCTTCAAACAGTCTTATATATCTCTCATTCTGGATGACCCAAGTATTTTGATTAGCAAGTCAGTAGGTGAGTTCAGGTGGGGTTAAAGGTTTCATCCTGAAGTTTCTCAAATTTAAAATTTGCAGAAAAAGGCAAATAGCTCGAAACCTGCACATCTCGTTGCCTTTCCTTAGGCTAATTTCTACCTCTACCACTTCCATTGGTGAATGAATAGGTGTCTTTAATGTGTTGCTGCATACAACTAATTCATAAGCAGCACCACAGAACTATCACTAAATGAGAGTGTCCCTAAATTTGGGGTGCTGCGTATTTTGGAGCTCTAAGAATATCTACTTAGTAGCTAACTAGATGTAAGCTACTATGTAAGACTAAATTCAGTGTCATTCTAACTTCAAAATTAAACCCTCGTGTTCTTTTTTCCTAAATCATATCTTTCTTTTGACACATTTCAGAAATATCCATATCGATCGAAGCCTGAAGCTTAATTCAGGATCATGTTACCTGCCTCATCCTGATAAAGAAGAAAAAGGTGGCGAGGATGCTCATTTTATTTGCATCGATGAACAAGCAATTGGCGTAGCTGATGGTGTTGGTGGATGGGCTGATGTTGGTGTTGATGCTGGGCAATACGCTCGAGAACTCATGTCAAACTCAGTAAGTGCAATTCGTGAGGAACCAAAAGGTTCAGTAGATCCAGCCAGGGTCCTGGAGAAAGCTTATTCACACACAAAAGCCAAAGGGTCCTCAACTGCCTGTATTATTGCCCTTACAGATGAGGTATATATGTAAATTTGTATCTTCCATTCTGCGCACTATATGAACTTTAGGAGAGTGAAAAAATACCTGTGTCCTAATTTAGTATTTAATAATTGTGCTTCAGAACGGCACGGCACAGCACGGCAAGATTATTAAGAGAATACTTAGAGAGTGGAGTTAGTTATTATTCGTTAGGGGAATATGTGGATCCACACAATGCGTTTGGGTTTCTAAAAAACAGGAAGAAGAAAATGTTGTATTGAGGAAAGTGTTAATGAGTCCCCCCATAACTTTTTAAGTTATAAAACATGCATTGAAACCTTCCTTTTAAGGAAACCACTTTCTGCCAGCCCGAAGACGAAAGTAAAAGCGTCATTTTGGGACACAGGCGTAGCTTGATGGAGTTGAGGTATGGGAGTAAACCTTTTTTTAATTGGTTACTCATACGCTGAGACTGCCTGTATGATGAAAATTTTCTCCAGACAAAAGACTTTTAGACCTCTTTAGCCATTGTATACGACCGTGTGCGCAGAAATAATTGTTTTGTGACTAAAACGGGAAACTGAAATTAAAAAGATGTGAGGCTATATAGAAGCTTATATCTCTACTCATGTTAAATTTATCCCTTTTCCTCTCTTCTCAGGGTCTCCATGCCATTAATTTAGGAGATAGCGGATTCCTGGTGGTTAGAGATGGATGTACTGTTTTCAGATCCCCCGTGCAGCAGCATGATTTCAATTTTACATTTCAGCTAGAGAGTGGTAGTGCTGGTGACTTACCAAGCTCTGGGGAGGTATATTTATAAGTGGTCTTCTTGTCATCTTATATAACACGCCGTAGAGGTTCTGTTTTTCTAAAGTCTCTGAATAAATAAGTTAAAGCTCAGATGGATTGAAATTGGAAAGCCTTTGCTAGCTGCTTTTGCCATTATATGCTGTCAGCCTGAGCCTGACCAGAGAATCTTGATCTCTTACCAAATCCCATAAATCGAATAACCTTTTCAAGAAATGCGAGATTTCGAGATGGTACAAGTAAAGAGAACTTTTCATTAATAAGCAAAAGTATAAACGGGAGCTGCGATTGGATAATGATAAATAGTGATCAAATGATGATAGAATAACCTGTTTTTGATTTGAATCCATCTGGTTATTCATTTTCCTTATTGAGCTGAATCTCGAGAGGCTTTGGAACGTTTTCATTCTTTTTTAATCAACTTACCTTGGTGCTGTCACTCTCTCCCTTGTTTAAACTCTTGGCACGTACTCGTTAGATGACTTGACTTTTGAATGGTCTGACTAATATTATTCTTGCTAAATTCGAATAATTTAAGATTTTGTGGCGTCCAACACCCTCCACACGCCTCTCACCTGTACTGTTGTGCGTTTATACCTCAAGTTGAATGTTGTGTCAACTGTAAAAATGATGAGTCGATCGTCACTCTAATTTTTCTTTCAACTGGTTTTACTATAGGTTTCTCCCATCCAATAGTTCGGTAATCTAATTCTTTGTTAAACTGAATGGCTGGCCTCGGGTGCAGGTGTATAAAATACCAGTTGCTCCAGGAGATGTCATCATAGCTGGCACCGATGGGTTGTTTGACAATTTGTATAACAGCGATATAACTGCAATCGTGGTGCATGCCACGAGAGCTGGCTTAGCACCTCAGGTTACAGCTCAGAAGATAGCCGCATTGGCTCGACAAAGGGCACNCGATCCACCTCACCCTCTTTCTAAATCCAATCTTCAGGTCAGTCTTGAAACTTAGCCATTTTTGCAAATTTGTTTGCTTTTATGTGTTTTCTGTATATCTTCTTTTTATATAGGAAATGGGTTTATGATTGAATTTTGTTACTTGTTTTAGATAGAGCTTTAAGTTCCATGCGCTTACAGTGTAAAAAATATTTACATTATCTAGTCGTGTAAAAGGTAATTGCAGTAACTCTATTTAAAAGTTGCGATTAGTAACCTAGAATAAATAGTAAGTGACATGCTATAACGGATTAAATTACATTGATCATGTAAATATTTATTACATTGTTAGTGTACATAACTTAAATCCTAAATGATTATGTCTTTAAATTGCATGCAAGTGGTTGTAATGTATATGAAGTGATCAGGGTGCTGTTAGGAATTCAGTCCAGCTCTTATCGTTTTGTTTGATTTATGTTTGAACTTAGATGCATGGGTGTGTATACCTGATTGCTATATAATAGGACTAACCTTGATTATGAAGTCTCGTTGTTACGTTGGACTTGATATAAAATGCTTGAACGTTGCTTGATCAACGTTGAATTATTTTATAGCTCCTTATTTTAGAGATTCAATTCGATTCCTAGGTTGGCTCATCCAATTGTGAATCCACGGAGCGGGTAAACATGTTGAATTCCGAGAATAGGAAGTTGTCTGAGAAGAATGCAGAGTTGCAAAGGCAGGTGAGGGAGCTAAATCAAAAGCTTCAGGTGGCTGCGCAGGGAAACGGTCGCGCTCAGGAGCAACTTGTGGTGTCGAGTCAACCTCAGAAAGCTGGGCCTTTTGGAACTGTCAAAAGTTTGAGAACTAACCCTCCTGTTGTGCCCGATGAGTCGGTGAACCCAAGATTAGCAAAGATCTTGGCAGAGATTGCAGTTAGCAAAGAGGTCATAGTTGCACTTGCCAATTCAAATGTTAGATCCATGCTGGAGGTTTGGTTCAACAGTATTAAAAAGGTGGGTATTCCCAATTATCTGGTTGTGGCGTTGGATGATGCTATAGTGGATTTCTGCAAGGAAAATGATGTCCCCGTTTATAAAAGAGATCCTGATGATAATGTCGATTTTATTGGAAAAAATGGAGGCAACCATGCTGTCTCAGGATTGAAGTTTCGAATTTTGAGGGAGTTTTTGCAGCTTGGTTACAGTGTCCTCCTTTCTGACGTCGATATTGTGTATCTGCAAAATCCTTTTGATCATTTATATCGGGATTCAGATGTCGAATCAATGTCTGACGGTCACAATAATATGACAGCTTATGGTTATAATGACGTTTTCGATGAACCTTCAATGGGTTGGGCTCGATATGCACATACAATGAGGATATGGGTTTATAATTCTGGCTTCTTTTATATCCGGCCAACGATTCCTTCAATCGAGCTCTTAGATCGGGTTGCTGATCGGCTTACCAAGCAGCCAAATTCCTGGGACCAAGCAGTTTTCAATGAAGAGCTGGCCTTTCCGTCACATCCCGGGTATGTTGGCCTTTATGCTTCCAGGAGAACAATGGATATCTATCTGTTCATGAATAGCAAAGTCTTATTCAAGACAGTAAGAAAAGATGCTAATCTGAAGAAGTTGAAACCAGTTATAGTTCATGTAAACTATCACCCGGACAAGTTTCCTAGAATGAAAGCAGTTGTTGAGTACTATGTCAACGGCAAGCAGGATGCACTGGATGCATTCCCAGATGGTTCAGTATAATAGTAGCAGCTGCTGAAATTGGACCTTACATTGAGAGCTAGCCCAGCTATATTCTCTGTCGTACTATTTTGTCTTTACATACAGGTAGACTCGGTTGATTCCCCCTTTAGGATCAATGTGTAATACCAACCAACTTTTGCTTCTATGTTCAAAACTTGTCTCTCTTTCACCATAGTAGTAGTTCTATTCAAAGATTTTGCAGGATTGTTCTTTCTTATTTGTGGGTTTCCTAATCTGCTGCTTCTGTATTTTATGCTTTGTCTCATCTTTTCTCCTGAGTAGCTACTGAAGCACAACAGGATTCTAGTTGCAGTGGCACTACAATAAGGGATCTAATAGATCAAACGACCATTAGGTGGATTAGTTACCTTCCTCATTTAAACTCATATAGTTATTAATATTAGATGACTTGATATTATAACTTTGTCTCATCTTTTATGATGCATGTAGAAATATTATAACTTGATTTAGTTTAGGCACTAGAGTTTGTCGATGGAGCTTCAACCCTGAGCTGTGGTATCCTTGGACAAATAGGAATGTCCGTTGCTGTTCATGGATTTGTTCAAGCAAAATTTACAAATTATTTATCAGCTCTTCATAAAGGTTGTTGCATTATTAGATACTTCAATTTAGCACTTAGATAGGAATGTATTACCATTAGAAGCACTGTCTTTAGTGATGGTTTGGTACTCTGATTCGAGAACTTTGTAGAGACTATTAGATATCTTATTGTATAGTGACATTTCTTACTCTGTTTTGCATTCTGTATTGACGACTTTTAAGTTCCCTTACTATGTCAAGTGATTCAAAGTCGAGGCTAAAGTTGGAAACAGAAACATGGTACATGTTGCCTACTGGAAACATGAAGATGTCACTACGAGTTCTTTCTCCCCGAATACGTAATACATATTTCTAGATTAACATAAGAAAAAAGAAGTTAGATGTAAGAAGGATGATACTTCAAAGGAAATCATTGTGACTGCAATACAACACTTTAGAATATAGCTAATAGAAATAAGACTGGATAAAGCAGAATGGATACTACAGTGATTCATTCATATAGCTAATTCAAGCTAATCTGAGCCTGAGCCTGAAACATACTCGGGTGATTGAACAGAATCCTCTTCATATGGAGTTTTAGGAGTGGAACTGTCACTGTTATTACCATCATTGTCATTTTTCATTTCCTCACTTTCACTCTCAGTCCTATCTTTATCCATGACCTTGTCATCACCGGTATCAGCATCATCATCATTTTCTTCCTGAGTTTCAGGGAGCTTAAAAAACCCGTAGAGGCGAGAGCCATCTTGGACCCCGTATTCACTGAGGGGTTTTTGATCTTCATTCATCATTATATGATCTCCATCCTTGTCCAGTAAGAGGATGAGGCGATCACCGGGAAGGTTTTCTTGATTTTGTATTGCTATCTTCAACTCTAGCACTGTTGCATTGTCGCCTAATTGGACGTGAAAGATTGTCCCTGTCATAATCTCGACCACCACCTGCATTTTTGTTTTGTTTTTGCTGAGTGCTTGTTCTGTGATGAGAGATCCATGGATTATAAAGAATGTTATCACAGGAACTGCATTCTTGGATTTTCTTACAATTTGCATTGCCTGGAAAATGGGATAATTGTGACTTGTGCGAGAAACCCGAAGTCATGTAAATCAAAAGCTGGAGCACTTCATCTTCTTATTCTTCTTCTTCATGCTACTCTGTTGAATTGGCCACTAGATAGTCTACGTTTTAAACTTTGCATGTTTTTGGCCAGAATTCATATCACAAATATCAAATGAACTGCACCAGACAATTGTGAATGGTTTATGCATTTTAACTTTGCTTGCCGTTCTCTTTTCTTAAGTGGGAGACAAAAAAACATGAAAATCACTTGCAACGATTACTTCGCGCCAAGAAAAAACACACACACACACACACACACAACACCCCATTCGAAAAGTTGAGAAATACCATAGATATATGAATGTCGTACTTTATTCGTCAAGTTTAAGTTAAAATAACTACTCTCAACATTCAAAATATATAATAATGCCGAAATTAATTCTAACTCCTCAAATTTGAGATTCAAAGAAATAATTGTTTTTCATTTTCTCTAATCTGAAGCGGAGGGCATCGCTCATGAAACCCCTTACTTAGCATGGCTTTTAATAACACTGCTCTTAAGCTGATTTAAGTTCTCGAGCATGATTTACGTCTAACAGTTGTCATTATAACGAAAAATCATAAATTATTCCAAGTTATTTGGGTTTATTAAATCTTGTTATTTCCAGTCTTGTCTAGCTACCTTTGTGTACTCAAGGGTTGTCAATTGACACCAAAATTCCACCACCTCTCCCCTTAAATGAATGGTGGTTAATAAAACTAATGATTGCGAATCGAATGCAACCCTGTAAAAGTTTTCTGCTCCTTCAATTAAAAGCCTCAAATTTACATATAGTCTTTAAAGAGTTTAGATAATAGAAAAACAGCCATAATTAAATCCAGGTTCAGCTAATCAACCAAAATTACACTACTAGGTAACTACAGTGACAGAGCTTTCTCCATATGCACATTCAAAAGAATCACAGAAGTTACTATATGTATGGCCACAAAAATGGGTTGATAGTATATAATAGAAAATGAATAATAACTCTAGAGAAATAAAGTATGTAAACCCCGCAGCCTGTAGTACAATTGTTAGATGACATATTCTACCTCTAAAGAAATTTCTTCTAAATTGAGATGGACATCAACTTCCATTTCGCTACAAATCACCTGCTATCCAATATCATGTTGCATATGCACCAGTAGTAAGTCTTGCACGCTTTACTATGCTTTTCCACTCCTAGTTAGCTTACAACTTCATTCCACTAAAGAAGACAGAAGATTAATCGCCGAGAACACCATAGACTAAAGCAGACAGAACAGTGATCTTGAATAACAGTTGTTCTGAGATGGTAAAGCTGCTTCCACTCTTGAAAAGATTATATAAATAACTAGAAATGCTGATGATGCAGAATCTATGCAATGGGAACTATGGTCTGAGCAAAAGCGTTCCTGACCATGAAGGGTAAAACATCACACTTTCAGCTGCTTTTTCTCTTCCTTGTGCATCGTTGTACTTATTTTCGGTTTTCCCTATTTGGATCTTGAAGTACCCAGTGGCGGAGGTCAGTCAACAAAAAACTGTAATACTCCATCGATGAGAATGGCTTAGGTATAATAAGAATAAACCTCCCGTGAATATTTACAAGACACTCCTGTCTTCATGAAATATTCTGGCGCTGCGCTAAAGACTGCTGATTCAGCACAACCATGATTTTCAGTCTATCCAATGAAGTTTTAGGGTTTCCTAAACGAGCAAAAAGAAGTCCCAACTGCAGAAGAATCACCGAATTCAAGCACACATTCAGGTCGTCGGATAAACTTCACCAATAAGAGCAGGAAAAGATTGCATTATCCTGTTAAAGAGATGGTGCCGATAGTCCTTCAACTTTCATCATGCAATAGTACTTGGAAGGAGCAATTACTCCAGCCTTAGTACACAGATCCACAACAGCGGGAGCATGCCCATAATAGTTCCGCCCATCATCGAGGAGTAAGGGAGGGTCCTGGGGTCGGCGGTACCATACTATTTTTGGAGGAACCAAATGATCCACTTCTGCCTTCTTCCAGAAGTGACTGCCTCGCCAACTTTCAAACTTAAATACGCCACAAAGACGAGCCTTATGTCCAGAAGGTCCTATATGAACTTCCGAGCAATGTTCACAGACTTTTGCTGGATAAACCAACAATAGCCTCTGAACTCCAGATCTAAGTGCTTCCCATGCCTTCAGAGTTTCTCTTCCCAACAACAACAAATCATCATCCGACAAAGAGTCAGCTTGAAAAGGATCACTTGAGGGCAAACTACTTCCACATACAATTTCTTCACTTGGAACAGCCCCTGCCTGCAAGCACAGCTCCACAACTGCTGGAATGCGATCGTAATCAAACCGTTCTTGGTGATTGATAACATTCTGAAACATAGTTCGTAAATGAAACGCCTCTACAGGGACTAGAATATCATTCAAGCTTCCTCTAATCCACTCATGAGCCTGGTTCTTAGCACGCTGTCGGTAACCATGACAAGTTCGAATTAGATGACCATTCTCACCAATATATACTTCTGGACAGTATCTACAACAAAATAAAACCCTTTTGGAGGTTAGAAGAAGACTCATCCAAGTACCTTTCTTTCATTAATTGTATTTGATGGTATGGCTTCTTACAACTAGAAGTCGCGCATAAACATGCCAAAAACAAGCCAAGTCTAATAAAAGCATCAAATACAACAGATGATTGTCCAAATAAATTCTAATTCTTGACCTTGTTAGAGCAATATTCAACTATGCATCAATACAAAGCTAATATATTTAGATAAATATTATGAACGAAACAAGTTAGACACCATAATTTTGCCCTAGCTTCCACCGAAAAGAGGATGTGATAAACATGGGCGTGCCTCAGATTGAACCAAATCTACAGTGCTAGATATCTCAACACTTCTCTAAGACTCTAAGTGCATTCACTATCTTCTTGTTGTTTCGACAAAATCCGTTGTTTCTTTTATAATTCTTGCTATCATTTTGTCTTGCATTTATCTTCGCTATCTTCTTGCTGTCTTGCACTTAATCTTATACCTATTTAAATAATGAAACACCCCTGCTTTATATATCAAAGCCAGAAACCTGAAAATATTTGAAGCACCTCTTTGCTCCAACATCAATATATCCAATTCATGCCCCATATGTCCCTATACATAGGTTCACCGTACAAACTTAAGATATCTCATCTGTAAATTTAACTCTTCAGAAAGAATGTTTCAACTAGCAGAAAATTTGAGCTACATTAAACTCAGAAGATTACATTTAACTTGCATCGCAAAATCTTGGCCTTCTATGGGCTAAGTTCCCAAAGTTCTTTCACTATTTTGTTTTCTGCAGCTACACAAAACTTCTCCAAAACCTAACATGACTAAGCCCGTCCTAATAGTTGTTTTCTTAAACTACTTCGCTCAATTTCCACATTCAAAAAGCTTCATAATCTTCCCTTATCCCCCAAAAAAGCTTCATAATCTTTAATCCATCCCAAACAATACCCGGCTATACCATATGACTCCCTCTGTCCCAAACTATGTGGCACCAACTGACTTGGAACGGAGTTTAAGAAAGAAAAGAAAACTTTTGAAACTTGTGATCTGAAATAAGTATTGGATATTTGTACAGCTATAAATCATCTCATTAAAGTACAATGCAAACTTTTAAGTTAATTTTTTTTTAAATATAGAAAGGTGACTTTTTTTTGTATAGAGTATAGACTAAAAGTAAAGAGTACTATATAAATTGGGACGGAGGGAGTATCATTGTTAACTATTAGTTCCACATGAGGTCCAAGGCATTTCCAGAAGCCTTCAAAAACCCTATAAGCTTGCAAAATAACGTATCAAAAAATACCCTCAATCTAAAATCACCAATAGGACCCAATAAAGATGACAACTTTAACACAAAAATAGGGTTAAATCAAATAACAGAGCAAAAAGGGGATTGGAGTTACTTGCATGCCCAAGTAGGGAAACGTTGAATTAAGGCAGAAACGCCATGGTAAAGGATAGTTCGAGCCTTAAGGACTTCCTCAGCAACAGGAACCATAGATTTTACTGGATAATCTTTAGCCCGATTCTCAATCCTCTTCAGAATCATTGGCCTCAACTTCTTCAAATCTACTTTTGGTTTCGAACTGTAAAATCGGTAAAATTCCATCGTCCCTTTGAAAATTATCGTTTTATGCTGCCATAGTTCCCGGCTCCTCATGGCCACCTGTGGGATCTGAGCGAGCTTACCTAGTCACCTTAGGGAAGGAAGAAGTGCACATATAGCCGATTTCAGGACCTCCATTTAACGCATAGCCAAAGTTTCTATACTTTTACAAGTTTAGCCACTTTAGATATACGTGAAACTTCAAACAATTTTGAAGCAAGCAAACTTCAACAAAAGTAAATATAGAAATTTATGGGATTTCACATATTAGGGCTTTTAGGGGTCGTTTGGTACAAAAACGACATGGACTAAAATATCCGGAAATACAGTAGTAGAATTATAATATCTGGATTAATTTATTCCACCTGAAAAGTGAGATAAAATAATTCCACGTTTGATGAGATAAGATGAGATAAGAAGTATATTTAGGATTAAGTGTGTGATTAAATATATATTATGCTTGATTGACGGTATAAATTTATCCTAGGATAAATTGTAAATTTATATCGTCAACCAAAAATAATATAAATTTAATTCCACATCTTATCTCATTTTATCCTGCGTACACCCTTCTTGTACAAAGAAGTATTATTGTATATTTACGAACTTATGGGATAATCTATTGGTTCTTTCTTATTTGGTGCAGTAGCACAATTTCTTGTATAGTTAGCTGCCAAGACTTTCCCTAAGCAAGAATAGATAAAACTCATTTAACATACCAATATTAATAGGAGCTACATGATATATTTTCTAATTTCTTCCTTAGCTTGGGGAATTAATAAGCTAGGTGGCTATGGATGCAATAATTTTTTTTAAAA